ATTGGATATGGCCCCAAAGCCAAAACAAACCAAAATAATAATTTTTATTTTAAACACATGTATTTTATAGAAATTAAGAGAACAGTCTTTTGTTTTTCCTGGTTATATTGCCAACATTTTATGTATACTTTTTTTTAATATGTGTGGTATATTTTTCCCTATGGCCTTTTTTTTTTTAATTTGACTGTGATGAGCCTGTTTCTAGAGTTCTATTCATATATCTCCTTGGGATTTGTGAAACATCTTGAACATATAAAATATTTTGGAGAGCTTTTGAGATGTTTTTGGCCAGTATTTTATGAATTTTTTTTTTCCCCTCCAGTTTTTCCTTTCTTGGAATTACAATTGTATGGTAGACTTTTTAGTATTATTCCATAAGTCTCTGGGGTTTTGTTGTTTTCTCTTTCAAAATTGGATCATTTCTTTTTATCTTCATTATTATACTTTATATCCATCCAGGATATTTTATTTCACTTACTGTATTTTTCAGTTGTAGAATGTCAGTTTTCAGTTCCTATTTATCCTGAAAATTTGCTCTTTATTTATGCACATATTTTAATTGTGTTCTTAGTCTCTTAGATTTGTCACTGTCACTGTCCTCCCGTTGTTCATCAATTTGCTCGAGTGGGCCCAGTAACGTCTCCATTGTGACAATTGTTACTGTGTTTGGCATATCGAATATGTCATGGGGAGCTTGCCAGGTTTGGCTGTGCAGGCAAGATACTCTCGGTAGCTTGCTGGGCTCTCTGAGAGGGGCGGAGGAACATGGGTTGGCCATGTTGGCCGCTTGCCAGGCAAACGCCCTACCCGCTGTGCTATTGCTCCAGCCCCTTAGATTTGTAACTGCTTTAAAATATTTGCTAAGTCTAAATCTGCTTCAAACTGTAGTTGGTATCTATATAGAATATCTTCGATTATTGAGTATAAATTTTCCTATTTTTTTAATATAGACTTAATATAGATTAGTATTCTGGAAATGCATTGATTGTTCAGAGCCATAGCACAGGGCAGGAGCAATAGCACAGCAGGTAGTGTGTTTGCCTAGCACGCGGCCCACCTGGGTTCAATTCCTCCGTCCCTTTCGTCCCTTTCGGAGAGTCCGGCAAGTTTCCGAGAGTATTCTGCCAGCACAGCAGAGCCTGGCAAGCTACCTGTGATGTATTTGATATGCCAAATACAGTAACAACAAATCTCATAATGGAGACATTACTGGTGCCCGCTCGAGCAAATTGATGAACAATGGGAGGACAGTGCTACAGACAGTGCATTCTGGACATTTTATAAAAGATACCTTGCAGAACCTCTGGATTTGAGCATTTAGTCCTCCAGAAAAATACTGAATTTTATAGTTTCATTTTTGCAATTAGCACAGCGGGTAGGGCGTCTGCCTTACAAGTGGCCAACATGGCCGACCTGAGTTCGATTCCTCCGCCCCTCTCGGAGAGCCTGGCAAGCTACTGAGAGTATTTGATATGCCAGACACAGTAACACCAAAGTCTCCAATGGTGACGTTACTGGGCCCGCTCGAGCAAATCGATGACAAACGGGAGGGCCTTTACTTACTTTTACTTTACTTATACTTCAAACTGAAATTAGGTGTAATTAAAATAGTAACTTTATCCTTTGATTCTCAATTTATGAGGATGGCTGCTTAAAGTTTTTCCCTCTCATGAAACCCTCTTTCACCTGTGAAATTTTTATGTGACCCCAGATGTGAGTTTATGAAATAAGTTTATGATTCAAATGTTTACTGATAATTATAGCACTGTAGCACTGTCCTCCCGTTCATCGTTTTGCGTCGTTTTGCTCGGTAGCTTTCTGAGAGGGGTGGAGGAATTGAACCTGGCTCAGCCGGGTCAGCCATGTGCAAGGCAAACGCCCTACTGTTGTGCTATTTTAAAATAAGAATTTGAGGATTTATTTTTGTTTTGTTTTGTTTTTAACCACTCCTACATTCAGTTACTTGAGGGAGAGGGCTCTGGGCTGAAGTGTATGCTTTGCATTGAGAGAGATGGGGGGCGGGAAAGAGAGGGAAAGAAGGGGAGCAAGGGGGGAGGGAGGGAAGCCCGTCAGGGAGGAGGAGATGATAGGAGACTGAGTGCTGGGAGGCTCAGTGAATTCCTGGCACTGCATGGTTCCCTAGCAATGTAGTAATGCCACGTGTGGTTCCTCAAGTACAAAGCCAGGAGTAGAACACACACACACACACACACACACACACACACACACACACACACACACACTTAAATTCTCAGGTCAGTCTGAGGTTTGAGTAGAATTCATATATAAATTTGGGGTTGTTTCTTGGCTTTCTTTGCAGCATTTTCCCTTTAATTTTAGCTGCTGCACAGTCTTCCTGAACTCTTGGTTTCTCAAGGCTGTTTTGTGTTTTGGGGGTTGGGGAGGGGACAGGGATTCGTCCACACCCTGCTGTGTTCAAGTAGCACTCCCACTCTGCTCTCATCAGTTGCTTGGGGGAACATATGTGGTATCTGAGATATGTAAACCAGGTTGGCTGCATGCAGGCTAGTTAGTGCCTTACCCAAAGTACTATCTCTAGGACTCTTGGATTTCTGTGTTTTAGCCACACTCTTTCCCTTCTTTGGCAGCCACTGGGTTCTTCCCTTAAGCAGAAAGGTTGCATGATTCTGAAAAACCTCTCCTAGGGTCTTCCTTTCAAAGTGTTGCTGCCTCAGGGACAGCTGTGGACAGCGGTGGGACAGCGGTGGGACAGCGGGGAGATGGCTTGACCTCACATTCTGTATAGTTGCCCCTCCTCCCCCCAACCCCAAAGTGTTAGTACTTTCTTCATTTTTTTAAATTTTTGGATGACTTAGGTTAGTACCCTACAAGTGATTACAGGTAGTGTTTTGTAGTGTTTTCCCCAGTGTTTGTAATTATTATCTGTAGCATAGTTGGCCTAATAGGGAACTGGTCAGCTGTACCAGCAATTTTCTCCCTATTAGTTGTAAAAGTTTGAATTACAACAGTTGAATGATAACTCATGCTTAATATTTTCTATAATAGTAATTTAATATAGATGCTTTTATCATAGTTTTTTTTTATGATGTAGTGATGATACTACATTGTACCCAAAAATTTATCCTGGAAGTTCTGAGTCTAAATTCTGCACAATAGTATGTGATGCTATATTTTTGTGATAGTATGTGTGACAAAATATGAAATAATAAGCCGAGAAGTGAGTAGAAACCTACTGCTAAGAGAAAGAATCAAAGGTTTTTGCTTTTTGTGGAGCTAAGATTTTCACTAGGTAAATAGATGCCATGTGTATAAAAAATTGTCTTGGTACATGTCCTTTAAAATTTTTTTAGATTTTACCTTAATTGTCCTTGAATATCCTTTCATCTTCCAACTCTGTAACTAGGTTGTAGTTTACCACTATGTCCCTTTTATGGGCCCATTCTGTTATATTATAAATTTTATTTTCATAACATTTATCATTTTGTATAATTGTACATATGTAACTTATTTAGTTTTTGTTTATATATTGAACAGCAATTGCTCCAAGAATAGGGATCATGTTTTTGTATACCTACTAGGCCAGGACCATATATGTATTAGATATTTAGCCCTTTTTTTTTTTAAAAAATAATTTATTTATTTATTGAATCACTGGGAAAAGTTACAAAGCTTTCAGGTTTAGGTCTCAGTCATGCAAATATCAAACACATTTCCCTTTACCAGTACTTATTTTTTACCACTAAGAACTCCAATAAAACCCCAGCTCCCACCCCTCCCAATGCCTGTGAGGCTGATGAATTCTAGTTAACACTCTATCCACTTTGACTAGATTTATTGTTTCGATAAAAGATGCACCATTATTATTTAGAGTTTACCTCCCCCCCCCCCCCCCCCCAAATCAGACATGCTGAAAAAGCGTTGTGAAATGATTTGCTTTCTACTTCTGGGTTTTAGAATTAAATGTTTAAGAATTAAAGGTTTTGGATTTCTGCTATTTTACTTATTAACCCTGGAAGTATTTCTACTGAAAGTCAGATAATTAAGAGATTGGTTTCTGTGCTCTGGAGTCATGGCTGTGCCAGAGAGACCTCAGTAGGGCGTGAAGGATGGACCGGAACGCCCCCCTTCCCATGAGGTTTTAGTCGCCCCCACACCCCCGGCTCATACCTGCTCTCCACAAGGCTCCCATGCGGCCGCCATGTTTCTTTCCAGAGGGGAGAGGGTGGAGGAGAGCAACACCCATTCCCCTCCGGGCAGGCATAATAGCCCTTGTTGTTTTTTTTTTCTTTTTGGGTCACAGCCAGCGATGTACAGGGGTTACTCTTGGCTCCGCACTCAGGAATTACCCCTGGCAGTGCTCAGGGGACCATATGGGATGCTGGGAATAGAACCTGGGTCAGCCGCGTGCAAGGCAAACACCCTACCCGCTGTGCTATCGCTCTAGTCCCTAGCCCTTATTTTTTTGAAGAATGAATGAATGAATATATACATGAGTATAGAGATTGCAATATGAGATAGTTGTAGAAATCTGTTATCTTAAACTATTCAGTATCTATTATCTTAAACTATTCAGTACAGTTGGAGCAGTGATACGATAGTAATATGTTGAAGATGGTTTTTAAGGAAATATTTCAAATTGGAAGGCAGAAAGGAGTGGCAAGATTTGGGGAAATTAGCAAAACAAGTTAGCAAGATTTGATCATTACTTTGTAAAAAGCAGTAAACTAAGAGGAAGGCACAGAGTACTTGGGAGAAGAATCTTGTGAAGATTTCTGGGTAGACAGATACAATCAACGAAGGAATTATAATAAATAGCAAAACTGTTTAATAAAAGCTGGTGCAAGGGTGATGTTGAGGAATAAGATACCTAGATATGGAGGTAAATGATGAAAAACAGTATTTTTATTTTGTTATTGTTGTTGCTGCTTCCAAACTCCCAGATCCTGAGATGATAAGGAATTAAGAGTATAGTTTAGCATAATCTGGTTTCGTTGTAGTGAAATTTCTTTGTTCTTCAGCTTTTAGATAAGCACAAGAATACAGAAAGCATGGTGGAGCTTCTGGACTTATATCAAATGGAGGATGAAGCTTACAGCAGCCTTGCAGAAGCCACGACTGAACTCTATCAGTATTTACTACAGCCATTCCGAGACATGAGAGAACTTGCCATGCTTAGGAGGCAGCAAATCAAGGTAAGTTTTTTTTCTTAATTCTGAATAGTAGCTTGCCTGTTTCATGGTTCTCAGCCTGACTGGGCACACATTCTTTTTTCCTGTAGGAACTTAAGAAAAACGTAGAACTGATTCTTTCTCCCCAGCGATTCTAATTTGGTAGGTTTGGGTTTGCAAAACTAAAGCAGCATTTTGAAGTACCTTAAAAGATGAGTTTGCTCAGTAGCCAGGGTTGAGAATAACCTAAAACCTAAATACATTTTTAAAATAGTACTGTAGCTTGAGCATCATTTTTGCAGTAGTTTTGATATGTATGGTTTTGATATATACAGTTACCTCCCTGACACCAAAGTGCCCAAGACCTTTCACTACTTTCCATATGTTACAGTCAGTCTAATTCACCTGTCCTCTACACACTCCCCACCTTACTTGACAATTTCAGTTCTGTAAATCAGCATCAAGGACTTATCATTTGATACCTTCCATTCCCTTGTTTCTTTATATATCACAGATGAGATATCTGGTATTTGTCCTTCTCCCTCTTACTTCACATAACTTAAGTAAAAATTTCCTGATTAATATCTTTTGAAAAATATTGAGTTGTCAGTTCTGTCCTTATTGCAGCAAACTGCATGCTTTCATCTTCTGGCTGCATCATATCCAGTTGTATGTTTATGCCACATCTTCCTTATTCATCTGTCATTGGGTATGTGGGTTGTTCCCATTTCCCTGCCCTTTTTTATACTCAGTGCTGCAGTAAATATAGAAGTGAATATATCTTTTTGGTTTAATGTTTTTGTGTTTTGGGTCTAGATATCTAGAAGAGAGGGATATTTGTGTCATATGGGAGATCTGTTCTAACTTTGTTTTGAGATATTTCCATACCATTTTCCAGAGAGGTTGAACCAGATTATGTTCCCACCAATAGTGAATGAGGGCAGTGTTTTCACACATTGTCAGTAACACTGGTTGTTTCCTGTCTTTTTGGTGCATATCATTCTCACTGGCATGAGATAATACCTCATTTTGTTTTTATTTGCATTTTCCTACTAATAAGTGATTATGAACACTTAATCATATGCCTATTGGCTATTCATTTCTCCTCTTGGGCGAAGTATTTGTTTATCTCCTCTTTTCATTTTTAGATGGGTTATTAGTGTTTTTGAGCTTTGTGTTTTACATATCTTTGATATTAGCCTTTATGAAGTAGGGCTTCTATTTTTTAGTGTTTTGTAAAAAATTTCTTTTAACTTTTTTAATTGAATTCGTGAGACACCATTAGAAAGTTGTTCGTGACTGGGTTTTAGTCATAATATGTTCCAACACCTGTCCCTTAACTAGTGCACATTTCCCACCACCAGTGTCCCCAGTTTTCCTCCCTTGCCTCTCCCAAAGAGGTAGGGGCACACTCTCTCTCTCTCTCTCTCTCTCTCTCTCTCTCCCCCCCATTTATTTTTTAATTAATTTTTAAAAATTTTAGGGCTGGAGTGATAGCACAGCGGGTAGGGTGTTTGCCTTACAAGCGGCCAACATGGCCGACCCGAGTTCGATTCCTCCGCCCCTCTCGGAGAGCCTGGCAAGCTACCGAGAGTATTCGATATGCCAGACACAGTAACAACAAAGTCTCCAATGGAGATGTTACTGGGCCCGCTCGAGCAAATCGACGATCAACGGGAGGGCCTTTACCTTTTTTTTTTTTACCTTTTAAAAATTTTATTGAATCATTATGAGGTAGACAGTTACAAAGTTTTCCTGTTTGAGATCCAGCCATACAGTGATCGAACACCCATCCTCCACCAGTGCACATTTTCCACCACCAATGTCCCCAGTAATCCCTACCACCCCACCCCACCCCCACTCCCAGTCCCATTCCTCATCCTGCCTCTATGGCAGACAACTTCCCCAATACTTCTCTCTACTTTTGGGCATTTTGTTTCTCCTGAATTTTCCCACCACCCCATTCAAGCCTGCTTGCTAGGGGCAGATGCTAGATAACTTATTTTCCATTGCTCATTTTGAATATCATGAGAGTTTACATGGCTGCAAAGTGGCCACGTGCTTCTGGAATCCTAGATTGTAGATGATTGGGTTCCAGAAACATCTCTGTAGGGCATTAATCTATTTTGGGATTCAGTAGGGTGTCTCTGGACTGGGGCTGTTGGTGCATCAAGATGGTGTCTGGCATAAGCTTGTGGGCATGAATTGCAGGCAGCAGAGCAGGCAGAGAGCTGGTGAGGGACCACCCAGCGCCTCTGCTGCCATGCGGCCTGGAGATTTAGTCCTAGTACCCACATACCTGGGCCTTGCTTGTGGGAGCTCTTGGATGCTGGGATTTCTTCTGGAGTGGACTGCACCTGTTCCGTCTGGGTTGTCCTGGCGAAATTGGCTTGGTATGGGGCCCAGAGGGATCTCCAGTGCTGTGTTGCTGTCTGGGACTGGTTTCTGTGTTTCTCCCTTTTCTTTTACCAGTAAAAATTCCCTTATTAATATTTTTGAAAAATATTTAGCTGTCAAGTTATCATAAACTTAAGATTCTGATAAAAATGGTAGCTTGGGGCTGGAGAGATATTCTGGCTGGGGAGGCAAGTTGGATCCCTGACATTGTCCCCAGGCACTGACTAGAAGTCCTAGGCACTTGTAGACCCACAAAGTATCATATTGCTGTAAGTGTGCTCTCTGTCAGCACCACCCACCTACCCTCATCCTATACACCCCTCCAGAAGATGGTAACTTGTAACTACATATTTTAGGCTTTACAATTTCTAACTCCTTCCTTCCTTCCTTCCTTCCTTCCTTCCTTCCTTCCTTCCTTCCTTCCTTCCTTCCTCCCTCCCTCCCTCCCTCCCTCCCTCCCTCCCTCCCTCCCTCCCTCCCTCCCTCCATAGATGTTTGTCCAGTGAGAACTTGATTATAAGGCCAGGAATAAACTGGATGACTTTGAAGTCCCACTTACTTCTAGACTAGACTGTAAACTTAGCTCAACAGATTATTGACGTGTTTTTTTTTTTCCTTTCACTTGCTTATTATGTATTATTTGGTATTGCTTGTTAACATTTACAGGTTGACTGAATGTACTTTTCATACTATATTATCCATACTTATTCTTTCCTGGAAAGCTGAGTATAAATGAGGAGAACCAGAAGGTATTCTTTTAGTTTTTATTTATAATTTTTAGTGAAGTAAAGTTGTCATATTAAATTTGAAAGATGGGGAACCACATAGTGTTTAACAATAAAAAGGGAGTTATATTCTCCAAGTTGGGATGTGAGTGATTTTTAGGGGCTAAGAAAGATAGTACAGTGGGTAGGGTGTTTGCCTTGTACGTGACTGATACGGGTTTGATACCCAGCTTCCCATATGGTCCCCCGAGCTTGCCAGGAGTGATCCTTGAGTGCAGAGCCAGGAATAAGCTCAGAGCTGGGTGTGGCCCATAAACAAAAACAAAAGACAAAAAAAAATTGTGAAATGTGGGTGATTTTAGAATGAAGAGCATCCAGAAGATGTACTTTTCAAAAAGACATTACTTTCATAAGGGTAAGAAGGATGTTTTATTATTTCGTAATACCAAAAATGTATTTAAGCCGTGCACAGCATGGCTGAGGTGCCTCTCCCAATCTTAACTCAGTGTGGTATGTAGTGCTAGATATCAAACACAGCCCTCCTCCCATTCATTGTACTTTCTCTTAGAAGAAACCGTTTTTTTAGAGGCAAAGTTGCTCCCATGTATTTGATTTGCAGCTTATACCTACATAAAATAAATCTAGTTAATCATTTTCAATGATTATTATGATTACCAAGTAATACACTTTATAATGCTCCTAGAACAATAATCTGTATAAGCATTATCATATTAGGGAGACCTTTACCAGACCAAGGAGTTTTGTGTTCTAATTTTTTATGTTGTTTTCTTTGTTCCACTTTGGGCCACACCTGGCTGTGGTCAGGAGTTTATTACTCCTGGTTCTCCTGTGTAAAAAACTATGCACGCTGAAGATTGTGTGTTCACGGGCTCTCTGGGCAGCTCTATCTTACCGCCTGCATTCGGTGTTCTAGAGCCGCTCTGTGTGGCCTGGATCAGGATGGCTGTTGGCCAAGAGCAGGTGAAGGCAGGAACGAGAGCCAGGCTGGTTGGTCTCAGTCGCAGTTTATTCCAATCTTATCCCCATTCACTCCTGTCTCTCTCTCTCTCTCTCCTTCTCTCCTGGACCCCGATCTGGAACCCCTCTCTCCTGGCTCCGGCTCTGGATCTCGCAGTTGATCTCCCCCATACCCCCAGCTCACTCTTATAGTTGCCTAGTAAACTCCCAAACCCATGAGGGGCTGGGTTTACACATATGTGTGGTCACAATCAATAGGGTTAAAGTTCTTTCCCTCAGGGGATACTGCTTCTAGGACAGATTTTCTTTCAGCAGGATGACCCACCCAAGGGTGGAATCCCATGGGTGTATTTCTCCTCTCCTTGTCCAACAACACATAAGCTTTCATAATATTAATCATTTTGTATGGACGCAGTAAGAGATGCATTAAGCTTATAGAATTGCTCTCCTGGGGTCATCCCGATTTCAGGGTACAGTGCTTAGGTCAGATTAGTCTTTCCTATACCTAGCAGGATCCTAGTCTTGTTGCTTTTGGATCATGACAGCATTTGTCCATGATCAAGCTTTTAACTTATAGTTAAGAATTGTGGCATTTTGGTCAGGCCCATCTTGATGCCAGGGTAGCACATAGCTTAGCGCTTGCCCTGGTTCGATATGCCAGACACAGTAACAACAAAGTCTCCAATGGAGACGTTACTGGGCCCGCTCGAGCAAATCCATGATCAACGGGAGGGCCTTTACTTTACTTTACTTACTGGTTCCATCCAGTCCTCTGTCGGGATCCTGCTTTGGGGGGCGTTAGGAAGTGAGGGCAACTGAAGCTTAAGTTGAGAAAGCAGATACCCGGCAATGAATAATATTCGAAACCAATTAAATTCCAAGTTACAAAAGCATAATATTGTCTTCTTGTGTCTATACAAAAGG